CCCCCCCCACTGACAAATTCTTAAAAAATGCCCTGTTTAAACCTAATAAAACACTCCTGCTCGTTTATTAAACAGTATTTATTAAGACTATAGTATTTTTTGTATACATATTGCTTCTATAAGACATTCATCACTGCTGTTAAGCACGTACATTCTTTGACAATATAAGTTACAGATAGTCTTTTCATCTTGGAAATCGTGTGGGCATGACAATGGGCAATAATAAGACCATTCTCTCAAATAAGTGACACGTCTAGTAGTATAAAGCGTCTCGCTAATGCGTTTTATTTCATCCCCCACATAATAAACTGAGAAATATTCCCTACGGAGCAGTTGCAGAATCACTGAAGTGTATAGCATTATACGCGTATAGCCTCGACTTAATTCTTTTGAAAACTGACAGAAGTATATTCTGAATGAAATAGTTATAATTGAAGACAAATCAAGAAGTCATGCAAGTAGTGTGGCGGATATGTGCATGGATGTTTCCGAAGAGGGTTAAAAGCACCAAATTGTGCACAGTAGTATCTTTTTATGAGTAGAACAACATGCAAAAGTGGGGCCATCGTGAAACTGTTTTTTTAGAGAGCTACGATGCTGTTAGCATTATTTGCTCTTAAATTCTACTACAACAAAAAATGTGAAATTTTGAATTCAATCGCGACAAATATAACTTGCATCATCAGAAAGCTTGTAAAAAACTACATATATAAAAGACTTTTAAACAGTTTTTTTATTCTTCCAATGGTTATTGCTGTAAATTAGGCACATTATCTCGCTAAAAGTCCCTAATTAATTATTCGATGTTTGAAAATGCGTTTTTAACAGTTTATAATTCGAAAACTATTTCAGAAATCAAAAAACTGTCTAAAAGTCTTATATGCAGTTTTTTATAAGCTTTCTGATGATGCAAGTCATACTTGTTGTAATTGAATACAAAATTTCACAATTTTTGGCTATAATAGAATTCAATAGAAGAAAATCACTAATCACCCGTTTTCAGGAGTTAGCAGCAAAATAGCGATGACCCCACTTCAAATATCTATTAAGCAAATAAAATTACATCAATTGTAAAAGTTTGATGCTTTTAACCTCAACGGGAACTACTGATTTTACACATATCCGCCTCACTAAAGGCTATGTGTGTATAATGCTTGTATATGTGTGTATAATGCTTGTATATGCTTGTATATCTGTGTATAATGCTTTCCAGTAATTCTGCAAAGGCTCTGTATACACTGTAGTTTCGTTAAGACCAAACTTCTGCATATACGTAATGTGCTGTATTATAAAAAACTTTTATTTTAACATTCTTCAGGATGGTCTATGGCTTGTTACAACTGAACCAGATATTATAACGGGTTATTCATCGACGATTCTGACTCCCAATGCCATGGAATTTACTCGTCTTTATAAAAGAGTAGTAAGAATGAAAGAATCATATAAATACATATTGATTATTATATTCACACGTCAAGCTATAGTTGGGACAAAATTATTGTCTGTTTATTTCAATTAGCCTTTCTCACGAATGCCAAAATCCGCCATTTTGGGGGCACTGTCTGCCCTCCTGAAAGATTCTAGACAATTCAAACAACGTGAAAAGCGACTTTTAAAAGTTGTAACTGCAAATTTACCATTACCATGCTCCATGTATTTCATGGTGCGGAGACTCTCAAACGTGGGAGAGACAAATCAGACAGTACCCCAAAGTGGCGGAAAGATCGGCCGTGCATGAGAAAGGCTAATTCAATTATAATATATAATACCATTTTTAACAGATAGGAGTTGACCTGCCTTTATCAAGTATAACTCCAGATCATGTAAAACAGCTGGCAATGGCTCTTGGGGGTGTTACAATCAATGCAAAAGGAAGGCATGATATCATTTCAGATGGTGAACAAGGTGACACAATTCATGACATTTCAGTCAACATCATGTACAAAACTATATTATTATATATAATAATTATATACATGCAGTTTTGCATGTTTCTCAATCTGAAAATTTATAGCAACCAAAATAAGTTAGATCTTTTAAGCCCCGTTTACACTACGCTCAATGTTTGGTACGGCACGGTACGGTACCTATTTAGATAGTCCAAGAACCAAAAAAGTAGTACGGTACCAAAAATTGAGAGTAGTGTAAACGGGGCTTAAATTATATAGAGAATAATACATGGGGTGCGCGGAAATACCAGATTTATTTCGAGTGTTGAACAGCTTACTCGTGAGATATCATGTTCAACACGAGAAATAAATCTGGTATTTCCAAGCACCCATGTATTTTTCTGTTTATTATATAAAGAACAGTCTTTGAAAAGCGATAATTTTTACAGAAAAGCGATAATTGAAAAGCGATAATTTTCACATGTGAGATTATCACTTTTATCAGTGCTCGAAATCTCTTTCAAAAATCATTAATAATTCATGAAGCAATTATCCAATCTTGAGTAAGAAATTAGTCACGTGCATACGTCTTTATACCAGCTAAAGAACACTTTAACAAA